AAATATTGGGTTGACAGTATTTCAGTGGTAGGGACCTTGCCTAGCATGAGTGAGGGCCTGGACTCAAGTCTTAGTACAGTACAGTCAGTGCTTACGAACATGTAAGTTACAAACTTTTGTAGGTATAGGATTAGGAATGAGTCCAATTTATACTCCTCCCAGTGGAACTCATTCATAGTTCAGGGACTTACTGTATAGAAAAAGAATGAAAGTAAGCATTGAGCCTCAGGGTATACTTCAGGCATTTTACAAGTCGCAACTGATATATGCCACATAGGTATAGCTGATACTTAGTTTGAATCTGTTCCTAGAAATCTTTCCTAGAAATTTGTGGACTAACTATAACACATTCAGTGCACCTTTTACAGAAAAGATACTTCACCAAGTATTAGTTCACTTTTCCCCTCATATACTTATCCTCTACTGATAAAAATTTCAAACACCTTACATTAAATCCAAGTTAAATATTTGTTACTCTAGATGTTCCCCCAAAGTCTCAGCACAGTAAGTCAGGCACTTACTGTACTGTGATTTGTTCCCTCAACGCCCTGTAGTCATAGGGCTTTTCAGACATGGCTGAATCTAGAGTGTGATGCTGGGATTAAGGGTATATGATTGGTAAATCAGTCCACTGACTGCTTTGGGATAGTTCTGGCGAGGATTAAGGGTGTGAGTGCTATAGCTGCCCTAGGCCAGGGAGCCTTCATACAGTATAAGGGACAGAGTTTTGTCCTCCTCCCTTGTCGCTTTTGCTGTCTTCTGTTGCCATGTGCCACTCTGCCTTGGAGCCAGCCAAATATGGACTAAAACCTCCACAAACTGTGAGCTAAGTAAACCTTTCCTTTCCTTTAACTTAGGGTGTCAGGTACTTTGTCTTAGCAATGAGAACAGAAACTAAGACAGTATCCTTCTTTGTGAAATGAAAAAAGTCTTTAATCCCTAGCTGAATTAAGTACTTTTTTTTTTTGAGACAGGGTCTTGCTATACAGTCCAGGCTGGCCTTGAACTCATGGGGATTCTCCTGCCTCAGCTTCCTGAGTGCTTATGTTTAGTACTTTTGGACAATCTACCTCAAGTATTCTAAAATCAGGTTAGTTTATCTAAACTCTAAACTCCCCTCAGAAGAGGCCCCACCAGGCCTTCTCTGAGAACAAGGTATAGCGAGCATCCTGGAAACCTTTTTCTGCTGCGTCCCAGAAAGCTGGGCTTGTTGACTGACTGCACAAGGTGGCACGCAGGCTTTCTCTCACCGTGAGGATGTCCTCTGGAATGTTACTCGGGAGGTCTTCAGACAAGAAAAGAAACTCAAGCTTTCTCCGGTAAACAGCTGGGAGTGACTTCTAAAGGAATCATAAGAAGGCAAAGAGATTAGGCATGTGCTTTAACATAAGAAAATATGTCTCTCCTGATAGTCAGATGGCTTCTATTTCTCTAAGATAAAGTTTTATTTAATTTTTATTTTTTGTCTTTTTGAGACAGCGTGTCACTATATGGTTCAGGCTGGCCTTGAGCTCACTTTGTACCCCAGGCTGATCTTGAACTCAGAACTCAAAAAAGGACCCTCCTGCCTCAGCCTCCTGAGGGCTGGGATTACAGGCATGCATCACCATGCCAGGCCTGATAAAGCATTTAAACCACTACATTTGTTTTTAGATACTTCATAAACAAAGTTAAACTTGGTTGCAAACTTCTCTTAAAATATGTAAAGCCCACACCAAGGTTTATTAATTTCATGTGACTTTTTTTAAAGATTATACTTTTTTATGTTTCAATTTAATTATTACATTTGTATATTTTTTTATGTGACATTTTTCTTTATCACTTGAGCTTTTTTCCTCCAGGAAATCTCTTGCTGTGTCCAAAATACCAAGGTACAGATCAACTTGGCAAGGTATGGCTCCCAGAATCCTCTTTTGGTCCAAGCCCATTTTTGGTATTAACTATCTTTTCCATGTGAGCATAGAAAAAAGTAACGCAGGTGGGATTTAACATTTTCCAATGTTTATTAAGCATTTATATGCTAGTATCATTACCACATATAATTTTATTTTTCATTTAGTTTTTGAATCAAATAAACCTGAGGCATATAGTTACACAGTTTAAAAATGATCTTACTATTATTTAGAAAGGCAAAGTAAAAAGTGAGCCGCTACTTTTTTGCAGGCTAGGGGTCCAACCCAGGGTCTCTCAGATGATAGGCAGGGACACTTATCGTGAATTCACAGCCCCAGCCCAGAGCAAAAGAAAACTATTTCGTTTCTTTGAGATGAGCTCTCACTCCTTTGCCCTGGCTGGTCTTGAACTCATGAACTTAAATGCTCTTCTGCTGCCCCACCCTAAGCAGCTGGGACCACAGCTCACAGCTGAAGCCAATGCTTGGTACAGAGACGTGCCGTCAGCACAGTCTGGTACAGACTCAGAGAAAGCCTGTGACTCTCTATATGGGCCTGTTTCACAGTAATTTCCCTCACCCACTCCTTAAAACTCAAAATTAGAGTCTCTTTCCAGGAAGAAAAATGAGATGAGAGTCTGGGGCGTACCCTGGCAGAGTACATCAGAGACATTTGTAAGTCAGGCTTCTGGGTACAGCTGCTGAAAGATGAGTTTGGGGCCAGGAATATAGCTCAGTGGCTCAAGTGCCTGCTGAGCAAGCACAAGGTCTTGAGTTAACCCGCGGTACCAAAAGGAAAAAACCCCAAAAACATGAGTTCTAGTGGAGGGTATGAAGCACCTGAAGTAGTGTACGTGTATGCACCATTTAGACTCAAGATCCCATTTCCTCCATCCATGTGGATAATCTAATGCCCTTCCGCCCCAAATCTTAGTCTTACCACACCCTTCCCTATTATGTGCACCAGTGTCAGGTGACTGCTTGCATAATACTAATAATTACAGGCTGGTGGGAAAATTCAAGCTGAGAAGCCAAAGGTTACTGGATAGTGTTTCCATTGAGGGAGTAAGAGGAAAAGAATAGATAAAAATCTAAGACAGTAAGTCCTTATAGTCTGGTTAGGATTTTAATACTGTCTAGAACACTATGGTCTAATTAGGTTGTATTATTATACTTGTGATATTACTTTAAGCATATTCAGGGTCACAAAAGACTAATATTCCTCAACAGTCAAGAACTTGCTAAATGTTTCTCAGCACAGATTTCTTTGCTGAAAGGGCAAGGCAAGTTCAATGGGAAAAAGTAAGAATATGCAAAAATGTAAACTTAAGAAATATATATTTCACTCTCTATCTTTCCAACAAAGTAGAACTACTAGCTGGGTGTGGTGGTGCATACCTGAGATCCCAGCACTTGGGAGCCTGAGGCATGAGGATTGTTGTGAGTTGGAGACCTGGACTACAAAGCGAGCTCAAGGCCAACCTAAACTACATAATGAGACCTTGTCTCAAAAACAGAGGCGACCGGGGGCCGCGGGATCCTGAACAGACCCAGAGCGCAGGCCCAGCGACCCAGGGCCGCGGGATCCTGCACAGACCCAGAGTGTAGGCCCAGTGAGTGAGTGAGACC